CAAATAGGGAAGGGTGGAGGGGATGAAGGGAGGGCAAGGGAAGGGGAAAAAAATAAGAACCAAGAGACTCATGTAATGGTACAAGATCCCAATGATGAATGTAACTGTGTGTAACCTAAAATGTACCAATAAAGTTAATGGGGAAAAAAATAATATACAAGAAACAAACAAACAAAAAACCCCACATCTTTATCCAGTGTCCAGTTGATGGGAAATTGGGCTGTTTCCAAGTTTTAGCTATTACAAACTATGGTGCTATAAACATGGGTGAGCATATATCACTGTGGTATGATACTTTTAATTCTTTTGGGAAGATACCCAGCAGTGTGATTCTTATTTTTAATAAAGAAAAATGAATTGTGTGTGTTTGTATGTTTGACCCCCTTCCTCCCTTAATAGATAAATAGTACATACTCTGAGTTTTTGCTGTTATCATTAATGATGTATTAAATTGCCTCACGTGTACTCCTTTATGTGTTTTTGTTATTGAGTCTTTGTGATAGACTTCTAGAAATATGATCACAAGTTCAAAAGGTAAATATGTATATATTTTTTAGGAATTTCCAAATTCCCTTCTGTGGACTTATACTATTTTACATGCTCAACAGCAATGTATCAGCTTGCCCATTTCCCTGTAGCTTCACCAGACTATATGCTATCCAACTTTTGTGAGATTTTCTTCTTTGCCAATCTGGTAGATGGGAAATGCTTCATCAATATGGTTTTATTTTACCTTTCTCTTATGATTGAACATCTCTTCACATGCTTAAGGTCATTTGCATTTTTTAAATAAAAACTGGCTGAAACCCTCTCTGTATTAAAATTTTTCTTACCTTCTGGATTTTAAGTCAGGTGGATATTTTTCTTTTCTTTTCTTTTCTTTTTTTGGTACCAGTGATCGAACTCAGGTTCTTGCACTTGTGCAGCAGGTGGTGAAACCACTGCGCTAAATCCCTGGCCCAGATATAATTTTTCTACTCTCAGGTTATAAAGAAGTTCATCCATTCTTTTCTGGAAGTCACATGATTTTTTTTTTTCAGGTGGTTCTCTGATTCATTTGAAACTTGTCTTGGTAGAGTGAGAAATGGAATCAATTTTATCTTTTTCTAAATGTTTTGTTATCTTGATATCATTTATTGAAAAGTCCATCTTTCTTCCACTAATTTAACATGCTACTTTCACTGTGTATTTCCATATGCACATCTAAAGGTGGACTGTTGGAGCTATCCTGAGTGATCACAGGTCAGGATGAAAGGGTGGAATTTAGGAAGGGAAAGAATTATAATGATCTGTGAGATCTTGAAAAATAATTTCTTAGGGGATTTTTGATATGTAAAATTAGCCAAAGATTGTCTATAAAAAGTACACCATGTATTTATTTGTTAAGTAAGTTTTCAGTAAATTCCTTTTCTCCCTTTTTTTATCTTGTAGTACCATGTATGTGTTTGGTGGTTTCAACAGCCTGCTCCTCAGTGACATCTTGGTATTCACCTTGGAACAGTGTGAAACACATCGGAGTGAAGCTGCTTGCATAGCAGCAGGACCTGGTGTCCGGTGTGTGTGGGATGTGGAAACATCTCAGTGTGTCTCCTGGGAACTGGCAACAGAAGAACAAGCCAAAAAGTTAAAATCAGAATGTTTTTCCAAAAGAAGTATGTTTTTCTCTGCTTAGAATTTAGAGATCCAATTTTATTTGAATAATGAAGGACTTTAGCACACATACACTTTTGTTGTTCACTTCATTTTCCATAATTATTTAGTAACACTTGCACAAAGCCTTTTTGGGTATTTGAAAATTGTTTTATAAACATATTTACAGTAGGTAAAAACATGCCATGTGGCTCCTAGAAGCTCTTTGCAAATGACAGAGGCAAAACTTCCTTGGGATTTCATAGGCTTTGTACCCCAACTCCAGAATGTGGCTGCATTTGGTCTGAGACGATGCCATCTGGTAGAACTTTTTTTTTTTTTTTTGGTACTGGGAATCGAACTCAGGACCTTGCACTTGGGAGGCAGGCGGCAGAACCACTGAGCTAAATCCCCAGCCCTGATAGAACATTTTTTGATGATGAAAATAAGTATCTGCACTCTTCCATTATGGTAGCAGCCTCCCATGGGGGTTGTCAGACACTTGAAATGTGGCTAATGTGATAGAAGAACTGAATTTTCTTATTTTAATTTTCATTAAAAACTACATGGGTCTAATGGCTGCCATTAAGGATGAGATTAGGAGGGTCTACCCAGAAAAACCATGTTATGGTAAATTGTTCTGGTGGGTAGAGATAGATTTATCTTTACAAAATATTTTCTAGCTCTTTTAGTTGGTTACAGCAGTGATAGGGAGACAGAAAGTTGCTGAAGATGAGCAGTGATTCCAGCTTCTAGAACCTTCCTTCCTGTTGCTGAGGATGAACAATGATCCCCACTTTTACAACCTTCCCCCAGGTTTTCTAAGCAGCTTTCTTCATCCAAGTGTCCTTTGTTCATGCTTAGCTTCTTGCCCTTTTTCTCTGACATAGAGTACAGAACAACACAATGATCTAATCAGTAAGAAAAAGTCCTTTAAAAATAGGAAAAATATTTGTTCACATGAATTAATGTATATTCATGGAGTTCCTTACCTAATAGGATCAGTGGTACAGAGATGAGAGTTATGGTGCACAGAGCCAGATTTTACTTCCCTGGGTTGCTCCAAATGATGCTGTGCAGGAGCATAAGTCCTCATTAAGAAATAGACAGCCCTCCCAGGTTGACTGATGAAGAACAGAGATTATTGTTACTGGTAGGATTAGTTACTGTCTCCGGAAGGGGGTAAAATCAGTGGATTAGTTAGTTTTTAATCAAAATTTTAAAAGTTCAAATTAAACATGCAAGTATATTGGAAATAATTTATCTTAAATGGTTCAGTATGAACTCATCTCATCTTAGATGTTGACTCAATGTTTTGTTCAATTCCTGGATGGGCCTAATCCTTGCAGTGATGACCAGAGTTGGAAGAACAAGCTGGTGGGTCTTTGCTTTTTTTTTTTTTGATACTGGGGATCAAACTCGGGACCTTGCACTTGCGAGGCAGCTGACAAAATCACTGAGCTTAATCCCCGGCCCTGCTTTTTTCATTACTGGATTCCACCATACCCATAAGATGGTTCAACAAATGAGGCAACATGGTTGTGGAGCTTCGCTTTTCTGAGGTCAAAAGAAAGTGCATCAGGTCTGCAGCAGCTCATTAAGTTCTGAGACTTGCACTCTTTTTTTCTTTTTGTGGTACTGGGAATTGAACCCAGGGCCTTTACTCTAAGCTACATCCCCAGCACTTTATTTATATATACACATACAGTATATGAAATATATAACCTATAGCATACAAT